TTCTGAGTAGCTACAGCAATGCCAGTGTTCTTCCCCTTAGGCCAATCAGATGGCTCCCCTTGAATGAGACTGCCCCGCTGATTCACCAGTCACCCCTGCCCTAGCCTCAGAGTGCACGTAGCAGGTCCCGTGAGTGAAGGTGCTCCTGTTACACTTGCTAGAGGAAGCAGGGTAAACATTGCATTTTACAAGGGATGAAAGATGGTCTTGTAGGCAATAGGCCTGGTGGCCAGACCTCACTGTTTCTATTCCCAGCCCTGCTCCAGACTCACTGCACCACCAAATCACTGTCTCTTCATTGTGCCTCAGTTTCCCCACCTGGGAAATAGGGATCAGAACACTAAACTCTGGGGTGTTGTGAAGGTCCATTCATTCATACTTTCAAAGCACTTTGAGATCCTGCTAGGGAAGGCACTGTAGACATGCAAAGCATATGTGCACTCACGGAAGGATTTCCTTCATTTGGAAAGCCCCTAAATTACTTGGCTAGGTCACTAGATTGCTTTTGCCATTAAAGAGGGGAGAACAGAAGGAAGCAACCCTGCCAATGAAGAGTTAAGCCACTTGATGCATCTTGGCCCTATGTCCAAATGCTGGTGATCAGAGCCCCCTCACATGGTGCACTGGATTAGATACCACACCGAAGCTTTCCACTTCCCCTTCCCTAACAGTAATCTTGCTGAAAGAACCCAAGTCCATTTCATCCCAACCCTATAAACAGGGTGAAGGGCTCTGCCAGATAAAAATCAATCATAAAGATGCCACCCCTGCGTGATCCAGGGGAAATAATGAGGGTCATTGCATTCATGGTTACAGGGCTCGGGAATATGCATGGGAAATAATGTCATGACAGCGCTCCCACACAGTGTTTGTTACACTGCCCACAAAGGGATGGATTCTTCTTCTGGTGTAAACGAGGAGCGAGTCCACTCAGCACAACACCCACATCAAACTGGGAAGAGCAGGAGGAGATCAGGCCACAATCTCTCCCCACTTTACTGTTCTATTGTCTTGCTGCTCCGTTACCTGTGGAAAACCCCAAGGGCAACAAGTCACAGAGTTCATTAGGGAGAAATGAACTCCTCTCTTCTGAGTCCCATTACAGGTCCCCAGCTTTCAGTCAGGGCTGCCAAGTGGCTTTTTACGCTAACCACAGAGGCTAGGTCAGCGTTTGCAGAGCTGCTGCAAACAGAGGGATGTACCTAGGGCAGGGTTTACCAATTTCAATATTAAATCACTTTTATTTTATTTTTTTAAAAACTGGTAAGCTGTACCCTGCCTTTTATAGAATGGCTGGCAAACTACGCCCTGCCAAGTACACCCTGCAGGCTGGTTAGGGATTTGGAATTTAACCTGGCTCTACTGTACATGGAAATGTTGTATTAAATTATTACTCTGATAACCCACCTAAAATGCAACATCTACCTATCTAACTAGGGTTTTATACAGATGCCCATCACCCTGGTATTTGAGTCAACTTCTCATCTCACACACACATTGGCAACAAGGCCTGGATCTCATTTTGGCAAGTTTCATACAACTTCGCACCCCTTGGTCAAAGGCAACCCACATTACTTTTAAACCATCAGAGTATGCTACACATCCCATCTAACTTTCCTGAGTGGAGGTGGGTTGAACAGGGGAGCAAGATTTTATTCCAGGGTCAGGGGGAGAGGAAGTGAAGGGTGGGAAGAGCTTTCCCCGGCTATCAGCCCAGCCCATGCATCTTCATTGTTTTACAAGAGCGTCAGGCACCTGGCATATTCGACACTGTTGGTGCACTGAAATAAACTAAGACTGCAGCAATTCTCACTGCATACAATTAAGCCGGCAGATAACAGGGTGACTCACAGAAGGCAAAAACAACCAAGCAGCAGGAAGACTAGATGGGTCAGGGACCGATAAAAGGAGACAGAATCTTTCACCTTGTTCAGTAGTGACCAAAAGTTGGCATCATCAATGTTCGTTGTCCTATTAGAAAGGAGTTGCTGGTCTCTGTCCATTCCTAGTGAAGCAAATGTCCATATCCCAAAACACTGCCACCTTTGTTGGCAGCCTCAGAGGGTAAGGATGGGGGAGTCTAAGGTTCTATGGACAGAGCATCATCATCAGCTTCCAGAGACAGCAGTCCAGCTCCACCCCGTGATCTTGACATTCATTAAACTACATGAAGGAAAGTTTCAGCTTTTCTTTTAAAAGTTAAGGGAGGAAAAGGGTTAAGCTGCCTAATTGACAACACTGACTTTGGCTCACAAGAGCAGTACAACCACCAAAACAGAAGCAACGGGAACTACACGCGATAGGAAGTCATCTCATTTTTTAGTGTTCTTTCAGCCAAAGTTTGAACTTGGGGTCAACTGTTAAAAAATGCCTGCAGTCCTCAAATGCACAGGAAGAATCAGGTTTAAACTTTAATGGGCTTGTTAATGTACAGAAAAGAAACTCAGCTTAATGGAACCAATGGGAAAAGGTTCTCTCTCCAAACAGCACCAAACAACTTGAGCAGGGCAGAATTCTGCTCTCACCTTACCTGCATGGAACTCCATCAATCCCAAAACTATTGAATGGGTGCAGAGCAGAATTGGGCAAATGGCAAAGATGACTGTCACTGACTAGTGCCCGGAGATGTTAAAATTTAAACAGACACCTTAGTATGGGTAGAGAGACAAAATAAATCCCCCAGCCCCTCCATACAAATATCCCCAGTAAATCCAGATACTTCTGCTCATCATATCTCCCTGCCTTTACCTTGCAGAACAAAGGAACAGTATTCCTTAAACATGGGAATAATCTTTTGTTTAAGGACTCTCGTAACCAGAGCTTGTAGAAGTAGGCCTAAATGGCTAACAACGTCAAAAGTGACTTTGGGACAGACTTTTAAATGTTTTTAGGCACCTAAAGATGCAGATAGGGATTTTCAAAAGAGGGCCAAAGTCCCATTGAAATCAGTGGAAGTTAGGCGCCAAACCTGCGTCACCACTTTTGAAAATTCCACTTATCTGCATCTTTCGGTGCTTAAATACCTTTAAAACTCTGGCCATTAAGAGCCTAATTCCCATTGGCTTTCAATGAGACTTAGACTCTTAAGTGCCCAAATTGCTTTTGAAAATGGGACTTAGGTGCTTTTGAAATTTGTACCCAGTATTGCAATATTACAGAATCATAGACATCACTGGTTTGATTGCCAGAGGTGGTGAGCATCTGCAAATTACCACTGAAGTTGCCTTTGAAAAATCAGGCTGCATATACATCTAGGTATTGCATATGGATGGATGCCTGTTAAATACGTTGCACTTGCATGTGATGTTGTGCAGCCTATGCATGTATTGATTTACTGTAGCTATCTCCAGACAAGCTGATCTGATACCGGCTTGTAGTTTATCTCTGCATGCTAACCACTAAACCATGCCGGCCCCTTGTATTTTTACTGTCAGCTGTCACTTCACTTCCCACATGTAGCCTGAAAGCACGTCAACTGGCAGGAACAGACCCCAGACTGGATTTCCTAGAACCTCAATAACTGGCCAAGAAATGCAGAACTCCCTGACTGGTTTATTTACTTATTACACTGGTACCCTACAAAAGCCAGAAACGCCAATTTCAATCAACAGGAGATCTTGCCACTAGTCTAGCAATGGAGAGAAGCAATGGGGCTGAGCTTACCCCCCTCCCCCCCTTGAACCTAGATGGAAACGTTTCGCTGCAGGCCCTTTCGTGATTAAAGACCTACCCGCTCCCCCAACAAAAGCTGAAATAGACGTTGCTTTAGCGTTGGGGGACAGAGAAGCAAGTGAAATGAGGTTAGAAGGAGAACAGCAGCCCTTATTATGGCAGAGGCTGAACTATTAGTGTTAACCACAGAGAGCAGTAGCTAAACTTAAAGGGGTAACAATAAACACATAGCAACATGTGATTGAAACTCCCTCTCAAGATAACATCAGCACCCCCTCCCAGCACACAAATTCTCCAGGGAAAGAGAGAGAAGCAACAGCAGTAGCAATGCTCTCTGGTTTAAATGTTTAACATGTTTGCGGATGGGGCCCACATGCTAGGCTTCGGATTTGGTGAGCACAAGATATTTCCAGGATCTTGCTTGAGCCACTAAGAGCTGCCTCAGTAATACAATCACTCTGATATTTGAATGAGGGAGAGAGGTGGTTTCTCTGTGTAAAAGGGATCAAAGCTTCCCCTTCTCCAAATCTCTCCCTAGTCAGATGTCTCTCGCTAAGTCTAACAAACCAGCTAGAGCAGGGAGAACCACGTGAGAGAAGCATTCGTGTAGGCAATAAAACAGTCTTCCAACTGATCCGAGATCAGAGCATTTTGCTTTATCCCCATCTTCCCTAAATGCGTGTCTCGATTCCTCAGGCTTGTATACGGGGAGTTATGAGGGAGGGAGGGGAAAGGGAAGAGGTCGCCCGCAGCAGATCCCGTTACAATAAAAGTTTGGGGGGGGGGAGTGGAGGGTGGTTACAATTTCAGCCCACACATTTTGCAAAACTCGCAAGGCAAATATTTTACCCCCATCTCCCACCTCCTAAAAGAACAGCTGCAAAAATAAACTGCACCGAGGGAAAAGATTCTCATGAATCCCAGGGGACAAGAGTCTTAGAACCTGGTCAAGCAGAACCTAAGGGGCCGCAATGGAACAGACCCGCAACCAACCCTCCTAATGAACTTCAGCTAGAGACCGACAGCAGCTACACCACACACTTCTCCCTCTGTGATCGCCTTCCCAGGACCAGGCGATACATCTCCCAGCATAGATCCAGCAGGGAAATGAATCCCAAGCACCAAAGATCCCAAATCAGTGCCCAAAGGATCCAGTCGTAAAATTAACCCCGTGTCCCCCCAAAAGCCAAGACCCCAGACCTAAGGTTCCAGCAGTGAAATTTAATAACCCGAGCCAGGATCAGAGCGCACAGACCAGAACCAGTGAAATGTACTAATCTACCCCCACGCAGAGCCCCCAAGAGCAAGGACCCAGCCGTGAAACTTACCCCCCGCCCTCTCCACAGACACCCCCGCTCCTAGCTCCGGTGGGGGTGGGAGGCAGCCGCCGGCGAGCTTACCCGGGGAAGGGAAGAAATCCACATCCACCTTCTCGGTTTTGATGATGGTCAGGGTGGGTTTCAGGTCCACCGCCGCCTTCATGGTTCGCTCCCTGCTTCCCTCGGGTTTATGTTAAAATAGTCAGTGTCCAGGGGGTGGGGGGAGGAGAGGTTGGTGCCTGGATTCCCGGGGCCCCCTACTGGGAAGGGTGCTGTGCGCCCCTGCCTGCCTGGCGCAAAGTTGGAGAAGAAGGGGGAGCGTCTCTCCTCCCCTCCCTCCTTCCCCGGTCCCACGCTCAGCCTGGCCCTTCTCCTCCTCCTCGGCCCGACGGGGTCGGTATCTCTTTCTCTTTTCGCTGCCTTCCGCACTCCCTCGCTCTTATTCTTCTAGGGCGGATCTTCTCACTGCCGCCGCAGCTGAGTCGCGCCCCCCCCCCCCTCACCCCCAGCCCAGCGAGCAGCGGTTGGGGTGAGGAGCTCCAGGCTGCAGGGAAGGGGAGGGAGATGGGCCGGGCTCAGCTTCAGTGACAGCGGCCGGGGGAGGGACCCGGCTTCCTCCGCCCAGCCGGCCTCAAAAGCCCAGAGAGGCGCGCAGGGTTCCGGGCGCCTTGGAGAGGGCAGGACGCACCAGCCCCTCCACAATGGAGAGGGGCCTTGCCCCACCCAGCCGATGCGGGGAGGGGAAGTTCCCTGCCCAACTAGAGGGTCCGGCTAGGGGGGAGGCCCCATGTTCCGGTAAAGTCCCATGCCCCATAGATAGGGTCTGAAGAGAGGGAAAGTCCCATGCTTCTCCCATTAGGGTGCATGGGGAGAAGGTCCCATGCCCTATCCATATAGTGCTGAGAGGGGAAACGAGTCCCATCTAGCAGCTGACTGAAGAGAAAGTTCCAGCCCCTTCTCTAGGGTGGGGTTGGAAAGGAACGTCCCCGGAAAAAGTCCTATAGAATTGAATCAGGCTGCTCCCCACTAGGATGCTACAGAACTTACTCTGAAAACCTAGGGAGAATTGAATAGAGAAGCAGCTCCATGCTATAGAGCAATTAAGCCATCCTATCCCTAGCATTCTCTATGAAATCCTATAGGTCTTTTCAAGGAGAGATGGATAAAAATAAGCAGATAAGACTATGGGGATGATACCACAGTTTGGTCTCAGATATACACATAGCTGTTTGAGCCAAAGCCCATTGAAGTCAATGGACACACTCTCCATTGATTTCAGTGGGCTATGGCTCAGGCCCAACTAGAAGATAACTGCATGGCTACATGCCTTCATACAGCCTTCTGTCACCCAGAGCGTCTGTTCACAGCTAAAAACTGAACAAAAAGATGTTTGTTTATATAAAAAACAGCACTAGGAATCTTTGACTAGGACTCAATGAGAAAACACCACTCGTCATGGCAAGCTACTCCATGGAGACATCTTTGATGATCCAAGATGACTTCTTGTCAAATCCAAGACAACTGCATTCCTTCTGCAGTTTCAGAAGAAGATGGTACCGTTCACTCCCTCACCTGAACTGTCAGAATTGCAGTGCACGGTTACACAGCCTGACGCACTCCACACCAGAAGTGGCTGCATTCATTGGCTGTGTGTGTGGCATGTATGCTCAGGGAAGTGCATGCATGCTGATGGGATTGTGCGGGGGAGGGCGGAAATGTATGTGTATTCTGGAGTTTGTGTGTGTGTGTGTGTGTGTGTGTGTGTGCGCATGGGGAGGGGAGAGAAAGGGAGAGAGAGAGTGCACACACATGTGGGGGCATGCATGCCTGGGATGGTTGGAAGTTATTCAGTACAGCTCTAGTTTGCCCAGCTGGTTTGTAAAGGGGCTGGAAAGGTGCTATAAAGATCTGAGATCAATATCATGCCAGTGTGTCATGAACTTAACTGAAGAGAAGAATCTCGGTTTTCACATAAAATATGTTTTATAGGTAGCAAAAACTTCAGACCACAAACGGCAGAGCAAGAAACAACTTATGAGTCATGTCAATTTACCGGTATAAGTGCAAAGAAGACCAAAACAAATGTCCTTAGCAACCTGCCGTTGTGGTTCTCACTCTCAAAAGCTAACAGTCTCCGTTATACACTGAAAGAGACTGGATCCTTTTACTCAGAGCTGGGCTGAATTTTCCATTCCAGATCTGAACATCACAGAAACGGGAGGCAGTTTGGATCCAAATTGCATGGCTAGCTCTATTACCTAGAAAGGGATGAACCAAAATCCCGATTCCTAACAGGTATAAGAATCTGACTAGACTCGACTCATCTCCAAAACTTACCTATGTCTAGATGCAGATACAAACTTGGTAGCTCAGGACTATTTCTAGTTGTCCCTAGTGGTAGTTTTACCATTGACCTAGAGCACATTTCTGGAGGCAAGAGCCATGTGGCTTAAGAGGCAGTGGAGTTGAATAACAAGGACACGGAGTTGGGAGTCAGGAGCCATGGGGCTTGATTCCCACTAATGGCCAAATTTTCCATGTGTTTAGGTGCCTAAAGAAGCAGATTGACAGTCAATTAAACTTAAAGGCTAGAACCACAAAAAGATTTAGGCACCATTCAAAACCCCCACTCAGCTGCTGCCCAACCCCATAGGTGCCTAAATTCCCACTGCTCTTAAGTTTCTGCTGGTAAAATCCTGTAGGCACCTAAGCTTCCGCATGTGAGCATGGGCAAAACTGCCTGCATTCAGATGCCATGGAGCTGTTTGGCACCTTATTTCACACCAAAGCCTTGGCAGGATTCTCACACTAGGCATATTGAGGGGCCTGATACCGTGGCACACCTACCGCACCAGAACTATGGCTCAGCATTGCCATGCCCAAGTCCATTTGCAGATCTAGCATCAGGGGCGAAATCCACTTCAGTGCTTTTCATAATCTTACTAAGCGCCTGTCTTTAGGCACCTAAATCCCCTTTACCACACTTTAGCAATGGAACACTAGCACAAATGAGAACCAGGCTGCTGGATTTTATTCCCAGCTCAGCCTCTGATTCACTGCTTGAGCTCAAAAAAGTCAGTCCCTGAACCACTCCATGCCTCAGTTTCCCCACAAGAATGCTAATTCCTACCCACTTTTGAAAAGTGCTTTGAGACCTGCATATGAAAAGCTGTGCACAAGTGATAATCATTCTTCTTCGGTATCTAATGCAGCAATAAAACTGGAACTCTGAACCTGAAAAAGCGTGATCGATAGCACTACACGGTTCTCATTGCACCCTGTTCCTCTGTTATTGAGATGCTGGGCTGAGGGCTTGTATTTCCCTTTGGCTCTCTTTGTAGATTTTTATTTTAGTTTTGCTCTTCTCCTGGTATAACTGGGAAACAGGGAGAGAGACAAAGTGGAGACGAGTAACAAAGAAAGGAGGGTAGAGCAGAACCTTTCCAGTTCAAAATCAAAAGCTGATGCAAAAGAAACAGCTGCCCTTCTGTCGGACTTGTTCCAGTGCAGGCCTGGGAAGGGAAACATGATGCAATTTACACAGGCCGATAATCTTTCCCTTCCTATGTTTCCCAGGAATGCTGTAACCTCAAGGACTATGTATGTGTGAGCATATATACATGCATGCTGTAATTTGCTATGGGGAATGGTGCGTTGGGGGAGGGGGAGACCGATTACATAGCTGGCTGCAGACTTTTGGCTGTAATGATGAAGCCATCAAAGTGCACCTGTGGTCCCCACAGTATTAAAATGACCCAACCATTCAGCGGCGTTCGATAATCCAGGCTGTTCACATTGAGCCCCAGCCCCCTGCAGCAAACCACAATCCTCAGAATGAAACAGAAGATGACACATGCTACAAGACGAGACATGCTCAGAGTCTTGCCCCAGTGGCTGGCTGATGGGGATGGGCTGTCAACATCACCCATGAGAATGTACCTAGGAGGGAGCGTGGAAGGGTCAGCCAGTGGGATATGCAGAGTGCTAGAATGACAGGCAGGAGAATTAAACTCTGCCAGAGGGCCCAAAGCCCTCATCTCCTGTAGTCTAGCCCTAGTCCCACGGGGCAATAATCTTACTTCAGGTGATAAAATTCCAGGGACTGGCTGGGATCCCAAGCACCTGAAGCGAGCATCTTCTCTTCTGGTCACATGCAATGACGAGGTTTTTCTTAGGAAGTATATTTAGGCATATGCACAGATTCTTGGACTCCCCACTACATTCTGGCCCAGCCAAATGAACAAGATGAGGTCACAGCATGGTCGTAGTAGCTTCTTGCTCCCCCAAACTTCTGTTCCACTTCACTGCTCCAGGGATGAAAAGGAGGCACTAAAATCCAACCACAAATTCTGGAAAACCAGAGCTGGAGACAGTATTGGTAGGAGAACCCACAAGATCAGGAGAGAAGGGAACATCTGGGAGGCTGCAGCTAGAAAATTCCTAGTAGAGCAGCCTCTCTCTTTCAGACCAGCAACAGCCTCATTGCTGCCTTAATGTGGGCTCATTTCAGAGCTTGAGACATGAAAGCCTCGGCTTTGAACTCCAGCTGAGACACTCAAGGGCTGTGTGTGTGTGTTTGGGAAGGCATGGAAAAAGTCCACTGAGTAGTTTCTTCAGCTGGGATGTGACCATTTGCGTTCAAGTTAGCCTCAGCCCTTGCCAGACCAATTCCTGTTTGCAATCTTTCCTCTTGAACATTCAAGATTCCCCTTTCTTTCCATGTTCTCTCTTTACTGAATGTTCATCACCATTAAGCTTCTCTCCTACAGTGGAGGACATGATCTCGCAGCTGAGATGTTGAGAATGGGCCCTCTTCTCACTGATATGTTAAAAAGATTCTGCTGTTGTTCAGAGATAACCATTTGCCCTCCTTCTACAATGGAACCCGGTTGTTTCTCAGTCCTTTGGAACAAAGAAAGGGCAGACAAAGTCCCCTTGTTCCCAGTGAGGCCTTTGTTTTGTTTTTTTTACATAATAACAATAAAGGAATTTAGTGTTGGTGAAAGGTGTCACAGATTGGGGCCTCATTCGTGACTTGGGGTTAGCAATACTGCTCTTCCCAGCATGTCTTTCTGGTTCTGGCCCTTTCAATTTGGCAGAGCCAAACTGCAGTATGAAAGTAGCTATTCTGCGAACTTCCAGGTTTTATGCAGCTGTAATGCCCCCCTCTTCTCCCCTCCTCCAAATTTTCCTTCTCTTATTGCCGAGGAGAGAGCACATTCTCAAAATGATGTCCTACTGATTGCATAAAGGAATCACTTCCACTCCCTCCCCTCAACCCCTGAGATGCAGTCAGGTCTGGGGTGAAACACAACAGCTGTTTTAACAGCGCACAACACCACCATGCAGCAGTTAAGGACAGGAAATTAAGACTACCTTAGCCAATTAAAACCGCAGGGGGCTATTTATAGCAGAATGTAATTAGCCAAATTGAAGCCCGGCCCAAAATTGCAATGAGATTTTCTTAATGGCTGCAAGTGGCCAGGGCCTCGGTTTGATGACCTGTCAAGTAAACAATATCCAGAGGGCATCAGACAAAAATCAGGAGCAAAGGGAACAAATGGCATGTGATTCCAAGGGGAAACAGAGACATGAAAGGA